TAGATTAGGCTGACTCCCGTTTTGCCGGTAACCGTTCGGTTACACTTGAATTTGTACTTGCCAGTTCCTTAAAGGGATAGTTCACTTTGAAATTAATTTTTGATATGTTTTAGCTTACCTCAAGGGCATCCAAGATGTAGGTGTCTTTGTTTCCACAGTATTTTCAATTTTGATATTTTTAGGTCAAACCGTTCTTGTCTGTCAGTAATATAATGCAGGTATATGGGGTCCACCTCAAAGAGCATGCACAGAGAAGTTCAAATTAAACATGATTTAATGACTCGTAAATGTAAGTACACATTGATGGCCTAAGACACGAAACGAGAGGTTTGTGTGAGAAAACGAACAGTATTTATATCGTTTTTCACCTCTTGTAAACACAGCCACGTCCAAGTGATCTGAGGGCGCAGGCGCTTCCGTCTTTTCTGGAAAGCGCCGGAAGTGATCTCTCGCGCGTGTACGTCACTCATTGTTTACACAGAACAGAGATTGTAGGTAAGACGACTAATTAAAATGGTACTAATTTGCGCTTATCCGGGATGTTTAAACCGTCGTAAAAGAAAACAATTAAAAAAAAATAAAAAATAAAACAATTGTATGAGTGACGTACACGCGTGAGAGATCACTTCCGGTGCTTTCCGGAAAAGACCATTTTTTTTGGCGCCCCCAGATCACTTAGACGTGGCTGTGTTTACAAGAGGTAAAAACGATATAAATACTGTTCGTTTTCTCACACAAACCGCTCGTTTCGTGTCTTAGGCCATCAATGTGTACTTACATTTACGAGTCATTAAATCATGTTTAATTTGGACTTCTCTGTGCATGCTCTTTGAGGTGGACCCCATATACCTGCATTATATGACTGACAGACAAGAACGGTTTGACCTAAAAATATCAAATATCAAACACCTACATCTTGGATGCCGTTGAGGTAAGCTAAAACATATCAAAAATTAATTTCAAAGTGAACTATCCCTTTAACAATCACTGGAGCCTACAGTAGGATGGCAATGTCAAAACACTGCTTCATGAAGCTTTGAAACCTTTACGAACGTTTTGTTCCGAATCAATACTTGGGGAGCTTGCCACAATGTAAAGGGAGAATAATTTTGTTTTGATTACAAAAAAAGAGTGTGTGAGTTCTGTCCCTATAATGCATCAGCAAAGTTCACAATGGTTATTTTACGCAAACAATTAGTGTAACAATTATTAGGTATATACAATACAATATAACTTTATTTGTATAGCACGTTTTAAAACAACTGGTGTTGACCAAAGTGCTTTACAAGGCCAAGAAGACAAACAATAAAAGAGAAAAAAAAAAAAAAAAAAAAAAAAAATAAAGATATATTAAAAGCTATTTTCAAAGTTGATTTAAAAATTGACAAAGTTTGGGCGGATCTGATGTAAGCCGGTAGGCTATTCCATTCCATAGCTTGGGGCCGAAGACTGCAAAAGCATGATCACCCATATTTTTAAGTCTAGTTCTAGGGATAGATAGTAAATTAGAGTCCCCCGATCTGAGTGATCTTGACTGTGTGGGGGGATGTAGTAGTTCAGATAGGTACCGTGGAGCCTGGTTCTGCAAAGATTTAAAAACAAATAACAAAACTTTAAAATCAATTCTATATTTCACCGGTAGCTAATGAAGCAAGATCAAAACTGGTGTAATGTGTTCACATTTACGCTTCCCTTTGAGAATCCGTGCAGCAGTATTTTGAACTAATTGCAAACGTGTGATGCAAATCTGAGGGGCACCAATGTATAGAGTTACAAAGTTCTTTGCAGACAAGAAGGGCTTAACCTTGGCTAAAAGACGAAGATGATTAAAAACAGGACTTAACCTTAAATATGATAAACAGATAGGTGCTGTGGTTGTTATCAAACCAAACCCCCAGATTCCGAACACAGGTGGTACTGTAAGGTAACAACGTTTGGAGATCAAAATCATGAATACTGCGATCATTTGAACCAAATAAGATAATTTCAGTTTTGCTCTCATTAAGACTCAAGAAATTACTAGCGAGCCAGAGTTTTTGTTCATCCAAACAGTCCAATATTGGCTTTAAAGCAAGTTTATCATCACGCTTCAAAGGCAAGTAAATTGTGTGTGTCATCAGCATACAGATGAAAAGATACCCCATATCTAGATAAACTAGAGCCCAAAGGGAGCATATAAAGATTAAACAGTTCCGGGCCAAGAATAGAGCCCTGAGGAACGCCAGACCCCAATTTCATTTCAGACGAAGATTGTTGCCCGATGCAGACTGAGTAACTCGTTTTAGTTAAATATGAACGGAACCAATTTAGCACCGTACCTCGAAAGCCCATACACGTTTCAAGATGAGAAATGAGGATGTTGTGATCGACCAGGTCAAATGCAGAGCTAAGATCTAGCAAGACCAAAGCCACAGATTGCCCGGTATCGTGGTAAGCATTATATCGTTCATGACTCTTAAGAGAGACGATTCTGTGCTATGACGATTTTTAAAACCCGACTGAAATATCTCATAAATATTATTATCATTCAAAAATGACCACAGTTGAATCAAAACCACTTTTTCTAGAATTTTCGAGATAAAGGGTAAATTTGAAATTGGGCGAAAGAAGTGTAGAATCCAAATTAGTTTTTTTAAGACGAGGCAAAAACGAAGCATGTTTAAGACAGTTGGGAACGATCCCGGTGTGAAGACATTTGTTGATGATGGACAACAAATCAGGACCGATAACTTGAAATACCTGCTTAGAAAAGTAGTGGGAATCACATCCTGACAGCAACTAGTGGGTTTTAAAGTTGCAACAATCTCATTTAGGGAGTCCAAAGAGATAGGCTCAAAGACAGACCAGATAGAAGAGCAGACGGGGACACCAAGTGGCATACAGGCTGACAAGGGCATTTGAGATTTAATCAGTGAGATCTTCTCATTAAAATAAATCGCAAAATCCTCACAAAGAGAGTCAGACATCTATAGAAACTGATTAGTAGTGGGATTAAGAGAAGAATCAATTATTGAAAATAAAGCATTGGGCTTATTGCTGTTAGATATAATCATCTCAGAAAAATATTTACGTTTGTCAGCTTTAGCAGCTCGCTGGAAAGCAGAGAGGGAATCCTTTACGATTTCATAGTAGTCTATCCTTATTCCACAGTGTTCAGCCCTTCTACAGATCTGTCTAAGAGAACGAACATTGTCATTTAACCATGGCTTTGAGTTGCGATTATGTTTTTTTTTTTTTCTTAAAAGGAGCGACAGCATTTAAGATGTTTGAAGTTTGAACAGATAGAATTAAAAAGTTAAAATGTTCATCAGCATCTAAGAAGCTTAAAAATGAGACCAGGTATATAATGAGTTATATATATATTTTTGCCTCATTTAAGTCATTGTGCTAAAGAAATCAACAAACAAACTTAAAATGAATTGTTATAACTGAAATATCTCTGTGTATTTATCACATGTAAAAACATTAATGCATTTAATTAAGACTAAAAAATAAACTTAACAGCAATGCACCTTTGGTAATCTTTTTATTTGTAATGTAATTTTTATTTGTAATGTAATTTTTACCAATCTTTTTATTTGTATTGTAATTTTTAATTATTGAAAATGTTTGCTACATTAGACTAATATGAAATCAAATGTGCAATGTAGAAATCGATCAACATTAATACGTGGACAAACATGCATCAATGTAAATACATTTCCTATAAGAGGTTTTTTTTATAACAGTGTTTAACATTAGTTTCAGTTCTTCTTTTAGGTTTGCCGTGAGGCTTGTGCAGAACTCGCTTTCTTGTAAACTACTAAACTGAAAGTCTGTTCCTGTAATTCAGACCACTGTGTACTTCCTGTTTATTTCACAGATGGCTGAAGAGAACCTGATTAGATCTAGAAATAATACAACTTAAAATTAAATACCTAAGTGACCTAAATTTGATGTTAAAATTCATTCAAAAAATTTAAAATTCAACTTTGTCAACATGATGTTGTGTAATAATGATTAAATTTACTTTTTACAATTTACAAAGACTAAATACAGTAGCTGCAAAAAAGACTTAAAAAATGTCACACCTGAATTGTTTGGAAGAAATGCAGCAAGTCAGAAATCAATTGCAAAATTGTCTCACTTGGAGACATAATAATAGTTTTAAGGTTTTGGTTGTTTCATTCATTGAAGTGGTTGACTTTCTGACCCTTAAACATGTATAAATGTTTTCTTATTAATCACAATAAACACAGGAAAGTAACCTTGGAGCAAAATCATGGTTTATTATTACTTGTTAAACGTAAGCATTCAAAGTCAGCAGCCTTATCACCCTGTAGCCCAAGACTGGTTGCCCACTGAAGCTAAGCAGGGCTGAGCCTGGTTAGTACCTGGATGGGAGACCTTCTGAGAAAACCAGGTTGCTGCTGGAAGAGGTGTTAGTGAGGCCAGCAGGGGGTGCTCACCTGTGGTCTGTGTGGGTCCTAACGCCCCAGTGTAGTGACGGGGACACTATACTGTCAAAGAGCACCGTCCTTCGGATGAGACGTTAAACCGAGGTCCTGACTCTCTGTGGTCATTAAAAATCCCAGGATGTCTTTCGAAAGAGTAGGGGTGTAACCCCGGCATCCTGGCCAAATTCGCCCAGTGGCCTCTGTCCATCATGGCCTCCTAATCATCCCCATATATATATATATATATACACACTGATTGGCTTCATCACTCTGTCTCCTCTCCACCAGTAAGCTGGTGTGTGGTGAGCGTTCTGGCGCACTATGGCTGCCGTCGCATCATCCAAGTGGATGCTGCACATTGGTGGTGGTTGAGGAGATTCCCCCTTCCATGTGAAGCGCTTTGAGTGCCTAGAAAAGCGCTATATAAATGTAATGAATTATTATAATTATTATTATAAAGTCAATGTCAAATAATACATAAGCTTGAAAATTATATTATGCTTACTACAATTATGTTGTGGATATGTTCAGACTTAAACTAAAAGAATAAAGCAATAACAAAAACTAAAAGTTATACCAATTCCTTTCCTCTCTGTTTTGTCTAGCTCTGTCCACAGTACGTTTCAGATCCATTCCCGCAGCCACACCAACTACACCAGCTCCAACTATAACTAGAGGTAAAGCCACCGCTACCTCCGCTACTCCCAGCGCGGCACATCCTGCTATTGCTGTTCCTGTTCCTACAGCTGATCCAACTCTCAATCCAAAATCTATTGCCTTTCTTTTCATCTCTTCACTTTTTATCTTTCTTTGAGCTGCTTTAAACATTTCATTTGTGTAATTGCCTCCTCCATTCTTCCCGACCATTTTGTCGATCTTCTCCATCAGTTCAGTGACCTGAGTGCGGTTCATCATGTCTTCATTGCTGAACGCGTGATATCCGCCACCACAGCTGTTGGTAAGTCTCCGAAGATGCTGGCTTTCTGCTACATACTGTTGGAAAGTCTTACGTCTCAGCTGATCAGCGCGAGTGAACAGAACGATGGTGTAACGTATAGCATCTTTTCCAAAGTTCTCCTGAATCAGTTTTACTGTGTTCACCTCCTCCGCTGTGTATCGCGCACCGAGACTGATCACCAGCAGAAACACATGAGGACCAGGAACCGACAGATCAACACACTTATCTATCTGTGTCTTCATCTCTTCTCTAGTCAATGATCCACAAAAACCTGGCATGTCAATCACAGAGATTACTCTTCCTCCTTGCCGTGCAACCCGTTTGCTGGACACGCTTGTAACTTGTTCAGGTGATTCCTCTACGTGAAACACTTCCTGTCCCAGGATAGTGTTTCCTGTCGAACTCTTCCCTGCTCCAGTCTTGCCCATCAGAATAATCCTTACATCAGACACTGAAAATCAAGAAATATCATTATATTTCAAATAAGATTTCTTCCTAACAGCAGGTGGAAAGTTTACACAAAGGTGTTGAACTAAGCTTAGGCCTTATTTGGAAAGTTTGAAAAATGACCAAGATGCATCAATGCAATTCATAATACGGTGCTTAATTTAAAATGCAGAAAGACTGAATACAGGATCTTAATAATTAAGGTTACCATATGTTTTTCTATGTCAACAGTTTTTCATTTAGCCAAAGCTACAACAAGAAAAGCTTTGCTTTCTTGCAAACAAGAAAAGCAATTTTTCATAATCCTGTAGAATGATAAAGAATAATCAAAACCAATTTAATCAATTATTATCAAAATCATCAAAATCAATTTCAGAAAAATATTAACTCTTATACAACCATACAATATTGAACTGTCATTGAACTTTTGACTTATAACCAGACTTTAGAATAGAATACCACCGTCTAAATAAATCTATACCTTGATGTACATAATATTGTCCAATGAAAGTCTGACAAAATTAAAACATGTTAGAAGCTAATATCACTTTAAGAAACAAAAAGGTCAAAGTACTCACCGAATGTAAAATCTGAGTAATATGACATTCTGTAATTGTCATTTGACAGTAATGCCTCTGTGGAAAAAAAACACAAACAAAAAAAACATGTTGTTTAAAGTTTTTAATTATTACTATTGCATATTCATGTTGCTTAAAACCACTTAAAATATTGTCAATTACTTACCCCTATCACTCATTTCTGAATTGTTCTGGAGATTTTTTAGCTGTAAATGTTGTGTATAAGCTTCACTGTTAATGTTGATCAATCAATCAAATTATCTTATGTATCTTGTTGAACGCTCGCCGATGATCTGCCCTTACTGCCTCAGCTAACTGTCAAAAAGTCTATTATAACAGGAAGCAGCAGATGTGTCAGGTGCGGATGCAGAGAGAGAGTGAGGGCTTAAAATGCAGAGAGTATAATGGGCTTTATTTAATAATAGTTTTTTTTTTAAAAGACAACAAAAAACACCTTGTAAGAGATAACAGGACTGGGACAAAGTCAGGGCTGTATGGATAGTTGCACATAGCACTGGTGCTACAGAGTTTTGTAGCACAGGCCACACAATTGCACATATAAGATGTGTTGTTACCATCTCTGAAACCACAAGTAGTGCAGTTCATCTCTTAAACAGGCGTGTGACTGAAAGAACATTAATGTTCCATAAATACAAACCTTTTCAGACAAACATTTTATTTGCCCAAATTGGCAGACTGCAGGAACATAACACCTTTTGCTTAACATTAAGTCAATTTTGTTTATATAGCCAAATACACTGTTAGCCCGGATTTTATATCTAATAAAGAATTTAATTACAATTTAATTAAATTATTTAAGTTTGATTGCATTACCAATTAAATATAAGTAGATTCTTCTGATTTGTGGACATCATTTGAATGTGTGAATAAATGTAAGTTAGATGGACTCAAATTATGAAGTTTTTCTCTTGCGTTCCACACAGCGGTTTGATGAGTCAGCTAACACCATTTTGTGTTGGTGTGTGTGAATTCAAGGATCTGTTGATGAGTAGCTGCTGGAGCATTTGTTTTAGCAAGTTCTATGGAGATTTTTCCCGACTTTACCTTTTTGTCGTTTCTTCGTTTTCCTCGAGAGTCCGTTTGTGAGCAGTGAAAATCAGTGTTTGTTTGTTTTTTAGCTAGCTAGATTTCCCACTCGCGTGCAGCGGACATTTTTTTCTTTTTCTTCCTATTGTTTCTTTTTGACTGTTTGTGTAACTGTTTGAACCTCCGGCCGGTGCCGAACACCGCGATGATCTCATGAGTATAAACAAACCATATAGTTTTGGTGCAATTTGTTGTGATTCTGAGATAGACTGTTCATATGCTTTACAATAAAAGCTAATTTGTTAAAACAAACAAATTTTTCTTTTTATGTTTTATGAGGAAAAGTTTTTAGGGCATGTAAAATGCATGTTTTGTTGTATTTCAAATGCAAATTTGGAATTGAACTGAAATAAAACAGAAAATTTTATGAATGAACTTTCTAGTTTAACAAATTACAAATAAATCAATTGATATAAATTTTACTTACTTAGTAGATTGACCTTAAATATACTATGTAGAGCCCGACCGATATGGATTTTTAGGGGCCGATGCCGATACCGATAAAAAAAGCCAGATACCGATATATCGGCCGATATTATTCATGTGTATATTATAATACAGTAGCAATATTATGTATGTGTATTATAGTACAGTACCAGTCAAAAGTTTGGACACACTTTCCTATTGGTGTGTACAAACTTTTGATGGGTACTGTATATAGAATACACAGTATAAACAGAATAAATATATAAACGTTTTGCAATGATCACTCAAATGTGGTAATCAAACTCTTGTGTGACACAGATATGTAATGGAGGCAGGGTGAATGATAGAATGAGAATGATAGATTTGAGCTGTAACCAAACTAGTTTGCATTACATGTTATATTATATTCTAAATACTGTTGCATAATCTTCACTAACGACTTTGTCTTTTAATTTAGTCACGTTATATAAAGCATAACATATCAATAAATATATCAAAAGTGTCACTGACAAAACCTTATTATTCAATTCAATTCAAATGTATTTGTATAGCTATTTTACACTATTTTTAAATAAGTAGTAAGCAAAATGTACTAAACGTGATAATAATTATATAATTATATTTATATTATATATTTATGTTATAATTATATAAAGTATTGCTTGTGTAACGTAGCGTTAGGCAGAATGAGCTTCAACACTGTCTACACCGGACGCGGCCGTTATTGCTCGCGTCGCAACAGCTCTTTACCCGAGACGCGAAAAAGCACCCGTTACAAAGCAGAATGGGGCATCAGTTTACTGTCGGAGAAATGACGCTCGCGCAACGCATTTTAATCAATGTTACATCAACCAATTGCCTGGATTTAATACATAAGAAGTACATATAGCAGACAATATAATCAGGACTTCTTAGCTGCGTGCTCTCCCTAGTCATCACAAGCTCACACAATACGTGACAGAGGCTGGTAGCAGAGAAATCAATTCTGTGAATTACACTGCGCAAATAAAAAGTAATTGGCTACTACCCACAGGATGAAGAAGGGTTGGCTCTCAACAGAACATAAAATATCCATTTTATTTTATTTTTCGTGTTCGTATTTATGAGGATAACAACGGATATGACAAGCTCTGAAAGCGGCACTAAACCACTTTAAAACTTTCACAGAGCCCTCAAAACAGAAAGCACAAAGCCTTTCATTAAAGTGAATTTCGTTTTGTATTAATTAGTGCTGGGCTGTTATCGGCGTTAACGTGCTGCGTTAACGTGAGACTCTTATCGGGCGATAAAAAAAATATCGCCGTTAATCAAAGTTGGGTTGGGATCATAAATAGCTTTTTCGAATATCGTTATATTTTCACGCAATTATAATGTGTAGTATGACGCCGCGCCTACTGTCACAGATCGCGCAGTAGGGTATTTTCCTGTCAGGGACACAAGGTGTACTTTTACTTTGTTACGTTGGGCGACGTTCCTCTCGTTACTTTATTTTAATGCAATACGTTGTTAAATGAGTTTATTTCAAGCGCGCTGTGTCCTTTGTATGGGCATGAGCGATGCTCATTTACAAATGAATGACTCTTTTGAGTCGATTCTGTTCAAAGACTTCATCAAACAAGTTGTCAGATGATCTGTCTAAATCGGTTCGCGAATCAGTTGATCTGTTCAGTTCCTCGCGCACTGAATCGTCTGAAGCACTTTCAATTCACACTCGACACGGAGTCGTAACAGGAAGATTTAAGAACATCAAGAGCGTTGGATGAAGTGGCCGATCTACAGTCTAGTCTAGTGAAAGCAAATCTACAAATGCATCATATTTTTGCCAGCGATGAAGATCTAGTTGAACATCTTCGTAAGCTGTCTGTGAATGAATGATTCCACAGGACGATACATTCGATTTCATTTCATTCAGGTAATTCATTGTGTGTGTATTGCGCGTGTATTGCGCAGTGGCATAATCACACGAATAGTTTACATTGATTGAAACTAATTTGTTTAAAAATGAGGCTATTGCAGTAACAAGGCAGGTTCACATAAAATTCGTATGACATATGATGACATTATTTTTTGATCTAACGAGCATTGGCGATGCAAAAACGGACTGTCGTGCGTATTGTTTTTTTTCTTCTTCCAATTAGCCTACTATGTTAAAAAAAAGGACGAAAACATGTTACTTGTTCAATTAATAAACAGTTTGTTTGATGACAAATCGCTAAAGATGAAATTGGCCTCCCTTTCTGTCATTGCGTTTTTTTGTTGTTTTTTTTTTACGATATTCGACTTTTGCTCCTCGATTGTCGAATGGCATTTTTGGCAGAAATGCACATCCCTACGCGAGGCAAACTATTCTCAAAGACTTACTTTTAGTCATTATTTGGGTAGCACACATATTCTGAATGCCTTCGGGAGAATTCAAATGAGCCATTTTAATCTAGATTAATCTAGATTAATTTCAATATTAATCTAGATTAAAAAAATTAATCTATGCCCACCTCTAGTATTAATTGTATCTTAATTTTAATCAATGTTTCATCAACCAATTCCCTGGATTTAATAAATAAGAAGTAAATATAGCAGACAATAGATAATCTCGACACGGAGGCGCCGGCGCGTGGACTGCAACTCGTCTCATAAATTAACCAAAACTCAGCAGAAATATATCTAAATTGAAATGTCTACTTTTAAACAGAACAATTCAAAATGAAAGACAAGACTACTCTCTGCTGTAATCCGTATGAAATGTCAGCAGCCATATCACCCTGTAGCCCAAAACTGGTTCCCCACTAAAGCTAAGCAGGGCTGAGCCTGGTTAGTACCTGGATGGGAGACCTTCTGAGAAAACCAGGTTGCTGCTGGAAGAGGTGTTAGTGAGTCCAGCAGGGGGCGCTCAACCTGTGGTCTGTGTGGGTCCTAACGCCCCAGTATGGTAATGGGGACACTATACTGTCAAAGAGCACCGTCCTTCGGATGAGACGTTAAACCGAGGTCCTGACTCTCTGTGGTCACAAAAAATCCCAGGATGTCTTTCGAAAGAGTAGGGGTGTAACCCCGACATCTGGCCAAATTTGCCCAGTGGCCTCTGTCCATCATGGCCTCCTAATCATCCCCATGTATATATATACCAATTGGCTTCATCGCTCTGTCTCCTCTCCACCAGTAAGCTGGTGTGTGGTGGGCGTTCTGGCGCAATATGGCTGCCGTCGCATCATCCAGGTGGAGCTGCACATTGGTGGTGGTTGAGGAGATTCCCCCTTCTATGTGAAGCGCTTTGAGTGTCCAGAAAAGCGCTATATAAATGTGATGAATTAATATCAATTACTATAAGTTAAACTCGAATTTTTCAAGTTACGATTACTTAATTTTTTTGGCTTTTAGACCAGGAGTTCCCTTTCGAACGGTCAGTCAGTCGTATTGCGTAGCTATACTGCACGAACCAATGGCTTAAGATGGCAGAACGGCGTAACTGCGCGAACCAATCGATTTTGCCATGGATTCAGATTAAATCTTCTTCATCGACGAATCCTATTCTTCACTGACGACTTGGAAGTCCACGAAGAACTAACCAAATCCTGCCGCGCCCCCTACTCGGCCCGCCTGCGACCGTCAACCTCTGCAGCGCTCTCGACCATTGACGGCGCCGAGGAATAAAATAAAACATAAAATTATAAAATAAATACTTAATAAAAACAAACATTATTTTTATAATACAGAATTAAACATAATCCCAACGGCATAGGGCTATGAGAAACTGCCCCCCCTAGAGGAAGCCGTGGCTGCGCACCTCTGCCC